TCTCTCAATGCTATCATTTTCCAACACTATGTGTGTATCACTGAGCTTCCTGTGTCTCGATAAGCCTATTGAGTTGACAATCTTGTGCATTCGTACGCATTGATAACTAAGTTAAGCGTCCTCTTCCCACAGAAACATACGAAAGAGAAGCCGGCAAGAACTGGGACGAGTTCTACGGGCGCCACAACAACAAGTTCTTCAAAGATAGGCAATGGCTGTACACTGAGTTTCCTGAGCTGTTTCAGATCTCCCAGGAACGCGTTGAAAAGAAGGACGCCCTACGTGTGCTGGAGATGGGCTGTGGTGTGGGAAACACTGTATTTCCGTTGTTACAAACAAACCCCCACTGCTACGTTTATGCGTGTGATATCAGTCAGACGGCGGTGGGTATTCTGCGCGAACACGAGCGCTACAACCAAAAGAGGTGTGTGGGAGCAGATGGTGTGCCTGACGGTGTGGTCGAGTGTGTGCTTATGAGTGTTGTAGGTGAGTGTACTTATGCCAGTAAATGCCATTTCATCAGTCCCGAATAGTAGTGTATGGGAGCTGTGTACGGACCCTTGAATCTAAGTTGATGGTTTTGCATACGATACCACCTGTTGTCACAGGGTCTTGTCTTTTGTTTTGCGAGTACGTGTGCCACATATTCTCGCAGTGATATGTTCGCTGCTGTAGCATCGGAGCGGAGAGCAACGAGTAGTATTCTTTATTGTCGCCTGCATGCCATTTGTTCATCGATATGTAGGCCGGGGCAAACCACTTGGTGTTCGCATGCTTGGACTAAAATTTTAATTTTAAATTTTTCTGTATGTAGGTATACATCATACTATCGCCATTATGTATGAAGGTATATATTATAAGTATCTACATCGTACTTTGTGAACACCTACTCTAGTAGAGCTCGCCAGCATGTTGGTCTGGCATATTTCGCTAGCGTATGTGCACCTTATCTGATCTCAGATGATCCTTACACCACCAACTAACACCTACTTGCTCATAAAATATACACACCATTCGCGTCTCCTGATAGGTGTACCGGGTTTGTTTGTGATATCTCCAACCCCGAGCATGACATTCCTATCGAGGAAGGTTCTCTGGATGTGATCACAATGATCTTCGTCCTTTCCGCCGTACAGCCCGCCAAATTTCACATCGCCTTGGATCGGGCGGCGCGATTGCTGAAGCCGGGTAGTGGGTTGCTGCTCTTCAGAGACTATGGGGAATACGACATGTCGCAATTGCGTTTCAAACGCGGGAAATTTGCAGGCGAGTACATGTGCCCGAGTTGTTTTTAGACATTTACTATTTCGAGCAGAGCGGATTGCAATTTGTCGCAAATGCGCAGTAAATGGGGCAAATTTGCAGCTGCGATGTATGCCATTGTACCGGAAATGGACCTGTACTTCCATGGTCGAAAGAAGGATTCTGCAACTTGTGCACAGTAACTGTTGCTCTCCTGCGGATCGCCCGTTTGTTTGTACATGTTTACTTCCATTAGACAGCATATTGCTCGTTGTGTAGTTGTCCACGTTTTACATAGGAATTAGTACGTGTGCCTAGGAGGAGGACGTAGTAGCAACGCGTTTCCGTATGTTTTCGATGTGCGCACTGTGATCAGTGCCTTGTTTATAGCCACCAAAAGCCTGCACTCATTCGACCTAACTATCTTATACTAATACATGCGAATAACAGGTAAGGAGGAGAACGAACTAGCATACGTCCGAGGGGACGGAACACGAACATACTACTTCAGTAGAGACGAGTTGGTCACGCTGATGGAGGCTGCGGGTATGGATACGCTCGAAGTCAAGTATGACAAGCGATTGATCGTCAATAGGAAAACTGAGCAGAAAATGTACCGCAATTGGGTGCAGGCCCGGTTTAGAAGGTGTGGTGCTACTGCCAGTGGTAGTAGTGACGCTTTATGACGAATTAAAGGAAGGAAAGGAATAATTGTGCGGAAATTGATGTTTTGTTTGGAATGATTAAACGCGATCTCAGGTGTTGATAGCAAGCGCATATATATATATATATACACACACACACACACACATACATATATATAAC